AGATACTGGCAGGCTACGTATCCTCATCTGCTGTGCACTACTAGGCAAAAAGGACGACAGTCAACACATAATTCTTTCCAGGTAAGTTGCAGGCTTAGTTTTTCATCTTTTACATAGTTTGGGAAAAAATAGCTATTTTTCTTCAGGACCTTTCGCCCTCGAATGCTACAAGTGACAAGTCAAATGGGAAAAGACCGATTTTCTACTTTCATATCAAAGCTACGATGTTCAGGTATGTATCTATTATCGAGGTGAAACCCCTCTGTTAAAAGTTCTTTCAATAGTGCTTCGGTGATGATGCAAAGTTCCAAAATTACAAAAATAATAAAATTCACTTACTGTCCTTAGCGCTAATTTTTATGAAAACTCGAATTGACCTAGAACTTTAGTTTTTGCGATGTAGGGCCTCTCTCAAAAACCTCATGTGCACTAATAAGGAGTCAAGTGTAGTTTGTAGCCATGTGTCGAGCATTTTATGATTTTGCCCAAAAATGATCCTTATGAGCTGCGTTTTTTCGGTGGGGTAGAGTGACTGAGAGATAGCTGTAAGAAGTGAAAGTCAGCTGCCACGTTCTGAAATAAAAAATCAAAAAATTGGTGTCAAACCTACATTTTTCATTTGAAAATAATTGAGAGTATCTAACTAATTTTGCTTAAACAGTAGTTCTCATGATTTGTTTGTGGCCGAGGATTTAATGATTGAACTCTCGTCCAGCACCGCACCTGGGGCTGGCTTGTTCGCCGAGTAAGACGGCGGAAAGCGAAAGTTTTGAGCTTTTATTTGTCTAATTCATCTAGGATGTCTCTTGAAAATGGCTTTAAAGGCTATAAGGGATTTCTATCAATCGAATGTTTGAGTGCTAAATTTTCTCTATTTCAGCCCTTCTGGAAGTTTTGCAACGGCTCACAATTTGTCGCTTCCGTTCACCATAGCAACTCGGAGAAATCAGGTTGGTCCTGAGCCGCTTTTTTCAATTTATTTAGTAAAAAAATTTTTCACAGGACTGTCAAGTGCAAAGAATGATGTCGTCCTATACTGCTACCATATTTTGGCTATATGGTTCTAACCACCAAGAAGGACTTCTTCTTCAGTGGGTTGATACAGGTAGGTTTAGGTCTCACCTGGAACCAGCGTGTAATTTTTTTCGATTTTTTCAAATTTTAGCTGATTTTTTTTACTTTCTTGCGTTTTTGCAGGCATGCACTGGGAACAATTCAAACATTTATACAAACAGCACTTCAAAGTGAATGCCGGTGTACAAAGAGGTTTGATCGATGGCGATTTTGAACTATTGAAATACAAGCTACAATGCCCCGATTGTCAGTCGGGTGAGAGTGCGAATATCAATGGCATTCAGCGTAGGTTTACAATATTTTATGCTAGTATGTATAATATATTTTTTTGCAAGTGTGGTTTTTTTTTCAGAACGCGTAACATTCAAGAATGTCCTATGCCCTCATTTGCGATACGAATGTGGTAGCACGAATGTACGATTCTCGGTGAGCTTTGTTTATAATTTTTTATCAGATAACTTTAGAATAGAGGATCACTCGTTATTTCCAGGTCTGGCGTGGAATGCTTGAATTGTTGCAAATTTTCCATGATACAAGGAATAATGTGCGAAAATTATGGGAAATGGGATTGCTTCTGGGATTTCTTGAATTTGATGAGGTAGGTTAATTTTCCGGTAAATCTACCGGAAAAATCAGTTTTACGCGGTCTACTCAAAAGCGAAAAGAAATTTGATCGACAAGGTTACAGTATGCTTTAACGTTTTTTTGTGGAAAAAATAAAGAGTTTAAACGCATGGACTTCGCACAAGTAGTATGATATACCGTAATCTTGCGGTGCTCTTTGATAAATTTCTCGTAAATTTACTACCAAAGTCAAATCTAGCGGAACTTTGCAATAAAATTCCAAAGAGCAAAGTCTAGTAATCTCTTAGTGAAGTGTATTGTATGGAAAAGATTAAATAGAGCATTTTAACGGTGGAGGCCATTTTGCACCAATATACTGTATGCTACCGTAATTTCTTCCGGCATTGGAAAGAGGATGGTAAAGTAAGTAAAGGTATACAGTAATGCTAATGTTACTTGTATGAAGATGCTGTACCTTTTGTAATTTGCGAGGAACAGTGATTGAAGAAATGGTACGACATAGGAGTTTTTGCACATCTATACTGTATGCTACCGTAATTTCACAAATTCTTCGCAAAAGTGATAGCAAAGGTATATCAATGATATTTATATTACTGCGTGAAAGTATTGCAATTTATATTTTTGTTTTGGTGGAAAACAGTATCCAAAGAAATGCAGCAAAATAGGGCCTTTTGGTACCTATACTGTATGCTACCGTATCTGGCGGGGCCTCATTAGAAAGAACCATAGCAAAGGATTTATAGAAATTTTTCCATCAGTCTAATTGCATGAAACTGATGTAATTCTTTTTGTATTGAAGCAGTATCCAAAGAATTTTCAACCTATAGGCCCTTTTGCACACCTTTATCGCACATACTG